TACCTTTTTATGGCTCATTATTAATCACAATTAAATGCAGACTATTATTAAAATGTTGTTTACATATGTTTTCACTTTAATTAATAGAAATGTACATTGAAATGTAAATAACGTTTAGCTATAATCCCATATTTCTATTTAAATAAAAATATGGGGTCAAGGATAAATACTACATAATTTATGTTCAATTCAATCAATTCAAACAGCAAAACACACAATACAGCGCACGTCACAATTAGACACATACACTCCACTCATAGCACTAAGCAATAGCATAGAATACTGTGTTAACAGTTAGGATATTTTTTGTGATGTATACTATTAATGTAAGTCTAGATGCGCGCGCTATCTATGTGTTGAATCTCGCAACACCTGAAATGATTTGAAATCAAGTTCATACAGGGAAGTCGTGAAATAGTGTGAGAAATGGGTAATCAATATGTGGCGGCGCTAGTGTTTTTGTTATGGTTTTGCAAATGCACTGAATTGTTAAGGGTTTAAAAAGTTAAACGTTTGATATCGTGGGCGTTTTTGAAAAGTGATCTCTCTTTGAATATTCACTGCTCGGACACCAAATATGCAAATAAAGTTTTGATTAATCTAAAATTTACTCAAATGATTGGTTGAGGAATAGCTGGAATTTTATAGCACTGACTTTAATACCTGATTTTAGCCATAAGTTTTAAACGCATTGAGATTGAAATATTTCATTGATACAATTAAAACGTTAATTAACAATTTGCCATAAAAATTAGTTGAAAAATACAATATACAAAATACAATTTGTGTTAAATATTTGATAACAGTATTTGTCTTAATGAAAATAATTTCAACAATAAATAATTATTAAAAGTCATTATTATTTTTGCGCTAAACATGTACTAATATATTAATTGGACAGCACTTTTATTCCCGTCACCCGTAGCCGTCGCGACGGGTCACCCGTCACCCGTCGACGGGTCATCCGTACCCGTCGCGACGGGTCACCCGTTACCCGTCGACGGGTTACCCGTCACCCGTACCCGTCGGCGGGTCAACTTGTAATCTTATGTAGAATTAGACGCTGAGTTCGAAAATGAAGTCTGTTTTTGTCAATCTCGAATAATTTTTACGTTATTCGACTTAAAAATATTTTTGTCGAAAATTTTAAATTAACTTGATTTATTGATATGATATACGAATTTGATGTAGATTTTAACGTTGGTTAAGATTATCAAATCAGATTTAAAATTCCATTTATCGTATTCAAAATATTTAACTTTAAAATGTTAAAATCTAATTAACTCGAAATTCTTTCATGATAGAATATTTTGAATTTTATATTTGAGGTCGGAGTCAAATTCCACATCAAATCCATATATTATATTAATAAATTAAGTCAATTTAAAATTTTCGACAAAAATATTTCTAAGTCGAATAACGTAAAAATTATTCGAGATTGACAAAAACAGACTTCATTTTCGAACTTAGCGTTTAATTCTACATAAGATTACAAGTTGACCCGCCGACGGGTACGGGTGACGGGAATAAAAGTGCTGTCCATATTAACTAACGATTGCGATATTAATTGTTATAATTTATAACAAGTTTCAGGATCTGAAATATATTATTATTAATGACTAGATATTTACTGGAATATTAATTACAAAACTGATGAAAGTGATTTTTAGTGATTACTAACATTTAGTCAAAATTATTTTTAAATATATTGAATTTTATAGAAATATTTTTATTGATTTCAGTATAATGTCGTCAACGCAAACACTACTCAACACATCTAATGAAGGAATTTGCGACCAATATATGGATCACAACTCACAACACAATAGCGTTAACATTGATTACACGGAACCTATGGACAGGATGTTAAGTAATGTTTCATACGCGGCAATAATTGACACTGGTATGTTTTTTATTTTATTCATTTTCCTGGCCATTTTAGTAAATTAGTTTTTCACGAAAGTCAACTATTATGATGTAAAGTCAACTTTATTTAATTTTGCATTTAATAAGTGTAATATTGCAGTTTTTAAAATGTCAAAATATAATATTTTTAAATAAACTTACAAATGAATTCATTATTTACATAGCACAGATTTTGATTAAATTATGCTTAAATTGTAAATTAAAGCATAAAAAATTATTGCAAACATCTCGGGCTGATACGACCAAGTTATGACCATTTTAGTGATTGCGCGCATACGGTGTATAGTAAGCCTGTTCAACCGGTTTTTAGTATATCACAGGTACAGATTCACAGTGTGCCATAAATAGGTGGCGCAATGATCAGTAAAAAAGTTTAGGTTTGTCAGTATTAAACAACACGTGAAGAAATCAATCCACCTAATATTGTAGTTTCTCACCCATTTTTATAGTGGTTGGCTTTCGGTCTATCCACAAAACATCATTTAAAACAAAATTTAATTATTAAATACACATTTAATGGGATTTCTGATAGTGTTTGCGATTATCAACAATTTGTGTGAAGTATTGTTGAGTTACTTTGCACTCAAAGTTGGGATCAAATCGATGGCCAAGAGTTGACACAAATAGTGGCCAATCAATGGATTTGTAAACAATTATCGTCTGTTCAATGCAAATAAACCGTTACAAAATTTGCATTTTATAAATTTATACCCTCTGAGTATAATGTAGACTGTATGTTCATTCACTCAAATGATTAATAATTTTTAATCCAAACCTTAAAACATAATTTTAATGTTGTGTACACTGTATAGCATTGAAAGTGGTGTTTCACACAGTGCTTGGGCTAATCACCGGTAATGCATTGCAATACGCCGAATGCGCGTATATCACGAAAATGGTCATAACTCAGCCATATCTTCCTAATAGCTCGAGATATTCGCAAAAAATTTATTTTTAAGTTTACTATTTAAACCTAATGTAATCAAAATTTGTGTTGTGTAAGAAGTGTACTTCGCTGGTTAGTGATTGGGTAAATTATGGTTGCAAGTGCACCTAGACCGTACATGTAATAAACGATATAACCTGAGGTAACATTCTATCACAACTAATACAACCTTTTATTTATAACATATTTATTTAGTATATTTATATAATTATAAGAGATTTTTAAATAACATTATATTAACGAGGAAAATCCAGAACAGGTTTAACATTTTAATTAATTTTAATCATTATAATAGTTGAATTAAATACAAAATAAATAGTGCAAAAATTGCAAAATTTACTAAAAAAAAGTTAAGCCTGTTCTGTTTTTTCCTGGTACAAATTAAATAGACACAAATATTATTAGATTTATACGAAAACCCAAAACCGAAGGCATCACAAAGTGGTGCCCAAAGCGGACAACAACTGCAACAACAGTCACGACTGGTTGTGGTCTCCGGTCGTACGCATAGTATTGTCGCCAATGTATTGGACAAAGGGTTCGGCGACCGGAAAGCCGACGACCAGTTGAGGACACTTCTCGACAATGCCTTCAAAGGAAAGAGTCGTACGAATGGCACGAATAGAGTGGACGACGACTTGTGGCGCGGATTCGCTGTCTTCACGAGGACTACAGACGGCAACCGATTTCAACAGATCTCGAGACACATTGCAAACCAATCGACACAAAACAAACCCAGTATTTGGTTTATGTTTAGCGGTAAAACACGTTTAGTTTTATTTTATTTATATAATGATTAAATACTGAATATAATTTCACATTTAAGGTATACGTCCAGGAATTGCAGGTTTAGTGCCGGCATTGATGACAATCCCGACATTTAAGGCATCGGTGAAAATGTCGGCCCAACTCCTGTCCCCTCTGGGCGTCGACGCTATTGAGTGTTTGACTGAAACAACGGATGTCATGACAGCATTGAGTAGCCAATACATTCATCGCGCGTCTATTGCAAGGATTGTACATCACTTGGCACTCGTCGACGCACTGAAAGCGGTTGGGATCACTGCCGACGGCTATTTAGGCGCATCTAATGGCGAAATCATGTGCTTATATATGGACGGTCTGTGCGATCGACGCCAGTGTCTGGCCATTTGTCGTGCACTTTGCCCGCCGGTCGGTCCGCACACGTTGTGGACATTACGCGCAACAAACGCGTGGCACGAGATTCGGCGCCATTGCATGGATAGGACCGACATCTGTGTGTCCGGACACTTCTCGGATACCTATATGAGCGCAAACGGTACGGAAGTGGCCGTACGTGAGCTGATCGATGCGTTGGCCAACACCAAAGTGCTGGACGTGCACCTAAAACATGACTTTCTTCACTCAGGCAATATGTTTGCACATGATATGGGCCAAGTGCTAATGGACAAATTCACCAAGGTGGTGCCCGACCGCATTCACTCTAAGCCCAGCGATCGTTGGCTCTTCACATCGCAGCCTATGGCTAACACCGGCGGCGGCACTGACTCTGGTTTCTCTGCGGCCGAGAGTGTTGTCAATACTATGTTGTCTCCCATATTGGTTAAGGAAGCCGTCGATCGGTTGCCCGCCGACGCACTCGTCATTAATATCGACACTGATTTCAGTTTACGAGCCCTCGCTTTAAGCGGTCGACCGCAGGAACTGTACGTCAAAGAGTCGGAGTCGAGTCTGGAGCCGGTGTTTGGTATCAATCATTTGTTACGTGAGATCGGACTCGTGTTTACGGCCGGACACTGGCCTCGGGTTCACGATTTGATGAACAGTTAGACCATATCTCTAACTATCGGATGTTTCCCAGCTTTAATCCCTTGACTTTTTGTAATGTGCATAAATAAAAATACAAATCTTTTATTTGAACAACCCTTTACAAATATAATTTAAGTCTAGATATTATTAGGAGTAATTATGCTATACTATTACTATTACTAAGTAATTATTAATAGGTACAGTATACACTAGTATATTATATACTAGTTTACAACTAGTGTCTGTATATAATAATAACGCATGTACTCAGTTAATACAATTTGTAATTGTAACCATTATTTGTTTAGGAGTCAAAAATACAGATCCACTGAAATAATCAACCTATAAAATAATAAACAATATATGAATGCATTGAAATTAAAACAAATTATTAACAATATTAATAAAAATTATAATAAAACATACTTGAAATCCGGGCGCGAGTGTGAACTCAAACTTGTGTACAATCTTTGCGATACACATTCGCATCTCATTTAAGGCAAACCTCACACCAATGCAATGTCGGGGTCCGCACCCGAAAGGCAGGTAAGCGTACGGATGGTGTGTTGGGTTTATAAACCTTTCAGGTTTGAATTGATCAGGGTCCGGAAAAAATATAGGATCCCTATGTATAACATATGGCTGAAATTCTACAAATGTGCCTGCCGGAATTATTATTCCTATTGAAATAATTACAAAAATCAAGTTATCATAATCGAAACCATTTGATAAGCTTAGGGAAATTAATTTGAAGTAATTAATTGAATAAGAAAGTGAAATATAAAGTAGGTAGATAATTAAAATTTTTCTGAGCTTACCGGTATTTCCCAATTTATAATCCCGAATGCATTCTCTTTGAATAGTGCCTAAGGGTGGGGCCAGTCGTAGGGTCTCATCGATAACTGCATTCAAATATTGGCATTGATTTAGGTTTTCATACGTGAAGTCTGTGTCCAAAGCGTTGAGTTCTTCCCTCAGAATCTGTTGTTTGTCTTTGTTTTGAGACAAATAATAGACGACATGAGAGAGCGAAGCGCTGGTCGTGTCGTAACCGGCGATGAAAAACGTGAATCCCTGAGCCGTTAACTCAGTCTTACTTAAAGCCTTAACTGTATTTTTGTTTAAATTTCCTCCCGATTTCTGAATATGTTTCTCATTATTGTTATCCAAATCAAAGTCTCTGTCATTTTTCTCGCTATCAATCATTAATTGTAAAAAATCTGAGCTCTTTTTGCCTAAGAATTAATATTGTTTTAATAAAGTTACTAAAATTACTTAAAAATTGAATATTAATATAAAAACATAATTTTAATTTACCCTCATTTGTAGATATCTTCCGTTCATTGACTATATCTTTGACCAACAAATCCAAAAATTTTATGGCTTTTGTGTCAAACGGTTCCAAACGTAAGAGTCGGGCAATCGGTGGCAACAGTACTGATACGGCATAACTTAGGTTTGAGTTAACGGACAGTATTTTCTTGGCGTTGACAACAATGGGATGATTGGGATTATTAATGGACTCAACATTTATACCATAAGCGCAGGCACTGATCACATCCATCGCGAAGGCGCTAAAATATTTGCGCATATCTACTGTTTCGCCTAAAATTAATTAATGTGAGAGTGATTTAATTGTTAACCAATTTGAATATTACAAATAATTTGATTTAATATCCATAACCATAACATTTTAAGGCATACTATTTGTATAGTTTGACCGGTAAAATAGGCATAACACGGTATATAATACAGTCTACGTCGATGCAAACAATATGTACATTTGTCGATACATTTGATCGCATTGAGACAGCACTGCTAACGCTGGGGACAATGATGTGTGAAATGAAAACATTGAAATCAAATTTTTGTCATCCATGAAATAAACACATTAACAACACATTGTGTGTACTTATTAGTAAATTTTAATTTTGACCAAAACTAAATATTTCAATAATTTTAAGTAATCCATTACGGGCAATATATACACTATTTATTTCTAGTAATTATAATAAAAATATAATATACCATTTTTAGCAAACGTATCCAAAGTGACTACAAACTGGTCGGCGATTCCCTCAATGCTGGCCATCATTGATATCAACTTTCCTGTAGTGAAGGCAGGGGTGACGACAGAGCGGACTCGTCTCCAATTGTGGTCGCCTTTCATCAGGAATAACGAGGAAGTGATGTATGTTTTGCCGTAATTCATGTCATATTTGTTGGGAAATATGTGGAAATCCTTGACAGCGATATCTCTGATGAGTTCCGGTTCGTTGATTGTGAGCCACTTATTGGTGAACATATAGGAGCCGTAGATTCGGCCGTATTTTCTGTTTTTCTCCAGCGATATATTAACAAATTTTTGACGCAACGCCCGAACGGACACATAATTGGGTCCTTTGACTCCATGTCGGGCCCAATACGTGTACCGGTGTTTTAGATAACTAGATATTAAATAAATTGCAAATAATATTGAGTGTATATAATATTAAATTTGTATGCAATTGCACATTTTCAACAGTTTATGTAAATAAACTGGCCAAATGTTCACTATTTGAGTGGACAGTCCACTATTTTGGGTTTCTGTCCACTAAGAATTAAGACCATATAGTGAACATTGAATTGTCCAATGTTCGACTTTAAGAAATTTAAAATAATTTTGATAAAACAACAATAATGATTATTAAATAGGGTTAATAGCCGACAAAACTTCTGAAAATCTCATTCCAAAGGTACAATCTGTAAAATCTTGTGGATTGAAACATTGAGTTTTTAATATTTTAATGGCTAAAACTCAATATTTCAATCCACGAGATTTTGTCTTTGGAATGAGATTTTTCAAAACTTTTATTGGCTAACGTTATTAGAATTTAATGTAGCATTTAACCATGTAATTAATTATAAAATTTATTTAAATATACTTTATTTAAATATTTTTAAAAATTTCAGTCCAATAGGTTAACATGTAAAAGGTGTTATACTGTAGTTTGTTAGCCTGACATTTGAAAACGTGCAATCCGACGATTTCTGTTTTAAGTGTGTATAACACTTTAATATATCTACTATCCAACCTTAACCCCCACCCCTCCCTCTCATAAACACCGTAGGGGTAAGCCATGGGTCTCGCAAATGGTCCATTTTCACAATAATATAGTCACGTGACCACAAATATTTGTATGTGCAAAAAATTTCCGACCATGGATCTATATGAGTGAAGTGACAGTATTGTCACTTCAGCTGTTCCCAAATGGTGATCAAAACACATCGCTCAAAAGTTTTGTAAGAGCCTTTTATAAAGCACTCATTCATTTGAAATAAATTCTATACTTATACAGTATATTATTATTGTATATTGATAATAAGTATATCATAATAAGAATATATAATAAGTTATACATACATTAATATTAGCGCTATTATTGTTATTAGAAAAGACAACAAATACATCCATTCCATCATTTTGTCGATAAAAATATTTTAAAATCTTTATATGAAAATATACAATTATTAACAAAATATCATATCTTATATACTTTTTAGACGAAGATAAAAGTACATAATATGTGATGAAAGTAGTTAATTAATTAAACTTGCACACTTTCAGCACAGTCACCGAAACAAAAACAGTAAAGTCACCGGAGATTGGTTTTGAAGTTATAAATTTGTATAAATTATATTTTCATAATCAATATTATTCGTACAGATCCTGACAACCCAAAGTAACTTAGTAATTAATTTAATTAATTATAACTTTATATACACCAAAAACTATCCGCAATATCTGGCTTTAACATGCTGAAGTCAGATTTGAAATATAATCATCCATCTAATTTTGACAGTGGCATTAAATATTGACGCAACCCGGGAGCCCGACGTCCGACTGGCCGTGCGTCTGGTGTCTTTGTGCCTGACGAGGCCTTCAGTCTTGAGGCGCGCAGCGTCCCTGCATCCGGTCATCTGGTCTCGTCTGAGTCCTCGCGATGTCGTGTCCGTGGCATTGAGTCTTGAGCGGTGTAGACTGTCGCGGGTGTTAGCGACGGCGACCATCACGGTGCGAGTCCAGAGTGAGTCGGATGGCGTCTACGGTTTGTCCATTACTTCGATGAGGGCGGCCACCGTTGTGACTGTCCTGCGCGTCTACGACGCGGAGCCATAAGAGGCGGGTGGTTATGTGCGGCTGAGACACATATGGTACTGGGCGGCGCTGGACCGAAGCCCGTCACGCAAAGCCTTAATTGGCGGGTGGTTTGCATGTCGGTTGCGGAAGGAAAGGAGGGAAGGGAATAGGATTGGGAGAGAAAGAAGGGCACTAGTGGCCCGAACCAAATGAATTACTTACAACTGTTTTGGACCGTGAAGTCTTTTAATGCTTTATTAAGTAAAATAAAAGTAGTACATAAAATAGTGGACAATGGAGTCCAACAAAATGGGAGAATACGTCCACATGATTAAGAGTCCAACGGTTAACTGAATTCAATGGATCTGTTCTGGACAGATCCTAAGACAGAGTGACATAGCGCAAGTGCGCTCATGACCTTAAAGTTAGTGTATAATTGGTTAACATAAAATACGTAATAGTAAAGGTGTACTCCTATGGATAGCTATTGGCTACAATTATGCAGTAGTAGTATTATTATTAATGCTAGTATTTTAATGGGTTTCGTAATAGAGGGAAAGCTGTAATGAAACCAAGGATTAACTGATAGTAAGCAGGGTGTCGACACCCAAAGGGTAGACAAGGTATGCCTAAAACTGACCCTATATTTCTCCTGTAGTAATAGTAAAGTATATAATGTAATAATGGCTTAAGACAAGTATATTGTGAGTGAGACTATACTCAGCGACACTTTAGATGGTCAAGTGTTCGGTAAGTACCAATTAACTAGTAAGTCTAAACCTGACGTTACAATATATTATTATTATTATATATGATGAAATACATGCTGTACTTTTACACAGCAAATTAATTTACTGTGTATAGCTTGTAATCAACAATAACCATTACTATTTAAATCAATAACCATTCAAATATCATCTCATTACAACCATGTTATTTAGTATTTTTAAATCACAGTTAATATAATATATCATATCCAATTTTCCCCACTATTCACTACTATTTTATTCTATACTTTATTATTAATTATTAAACAGACTTAACGGAACTAGTTATAGCAAATTTGTTTGTAATGCCTGTAAACATTCATAAGTCGCGTCGAGTTATAACATCTCTCACAAACTCATTATTTGTATTTATCCACCTCTGGTAATGCTAAGTCTATGACATCAGGATAACAAGAGTAATGATAAGTCGATGGGTAATTCTAAATCAGTAATGCTAATCCTATGGAGTTGATTCTGATCGATGGAAGATGATAAATCTATGGGAATTACATAGACAATATGAAAATATGCAAAGACTATCTATTCTGATCAATCCCGAATTGTGGTTAACGTATAGCATCGCTGTTTAAACCTTGTTTCAATATAGTTTATTCAAGCTGTTAAATAAAAGTTCAAATGTAAACATATTTGATATTCTCTCTAATCGTGTTTTGCTTTTAATACTAATCCAATGTATGCTAAGAACAACAATACAAGACTTATAAATAACATTATAATATAATTAAATTGGATGTTATTTTCATTAAATCCCAAGGATTGTATCAGATTGTGTCCATTGCCATAACATTGTCCTATTGATTGACTGCCATTAATACACGGAATATTATCAATAGATTTCCATTGGTTTACAATAAGTGATTCAAATCCATAATGTAAAAAATCTATATATTTGAACCAAACTAACCACGATGGTATTGAACTAAGGAATTACAAAAAACATTTAATGTAATGTAAGTTGTTAAATTATTTCTGAAACAAACTATCCAATCAACAATACAAAATACTATACTTTGTGTTTAAATAAAATCCAGCCAACATAATAATTATGTCAATAATTGGTGCTAACATAATTTGTGTTGTATATATATCTTCACTTACACTTGACGTTAAGTAACCTAATGTTTAATTCTTTATTTTATAAAATATATAAATTAAACATTGGTCAATAATTACCTAGACTACATGAGCACAGAAGTACCAACACATTAATACCCAAACACGTGAATACAGCGCGAACATTGTTAACCAGTCCAATAATGTAATATATCAATAATGTCATTAACGAACATTTGATTATAAAATACACCATCTGTTAAAAAGATTTAAATATAAGATTATTCTAATTTACCTTAATTATTTAACCTATTTTTACCTATATTATTTGTTTTTTATAAATATATCGAGTTATTAATACATTATTATCAATAGTATCAATATTTATATCTAGTTTTATTTATATACGATATTAGATAATATATTTTAATAATATACACTTTATAACGTACCTGGCAAAAAATTGTTGCCATAAAATAAGGCAGTACTCCATAAATATGGTTTCGGTGTTCTCTAAGAAATAATGGAATTCCCGTACAAAATACCTATTAATATATAAATATTATATAAACAAATTAACAAATAAAAAAAATTATTTTAATATTAACTGTAAAAATATTATTATAGTTATTAAGCATATTATATATTTTTATTTTCACAGAGGGAATTATCAAATTTGTCATACGTAAAATTCAATATAAAGTATTCATCTTTATGTACAGTATTCATCACGGTATAAACATTAATAGAAATTAAATTTTAACTTTATAACAAATTAGATTATTTATTCTGTGTTTGTACAAAACATAATATGTTTTTTTTATAAACATACCATGCTAGAATTAAATGCATATTTCACTAAAATATTCATTACAAATAAAAACAAGGCGCCATTAATGTTGGTTATGTCCGACGATATCGGGAATTGTTTGTAGTAAAACAAACCCATTAATGAGACCGCGCACTATAAAATAGTAAAATTCATAGGAATGTGTTATATAGTTAAATTTTGTCAAGTACAAAATGTTATTAATCATAATAGTATCATAAGGGAAAACTTCAATTTTCAACCTAATATATAATTTTTTAATAATAAATACAATACGATTGTTATGATAGTGTCCACGATTATAAAGCGTGAATTACGAAAAGTGGTCAAATACGAGCGCCACAATAGGGCGCCAAATTGAGCCCAAAAACCACATTTGTATTTTGGCCATTGGATTGCACTTATGTTTTTGTAGCCGACGTCTCTCTCATCACTCGTTTTCAAATCAATCGCCAAATTGACAGATATTTGTTGATAAAAATTTGAAGTTTGATATTTATCGCATATGTTCTGTAAGTTTTAAATAAGTGTACAATTATTTATTCAGGTAATATTATACTATTGTTTAATTTGATTATTATGGTAATTTCTGGCAATGTTGACAATTGTTTATTAAGGTCAACGCTATTTTTTTAAATTAGCTTATTTACAATGGAAATTAAAAAACAAGGAGGGAAAGAGGGAAGGTTAGCTTAACGATACTATAAACCACTTTATTTATAACTGAATTGTGGTTAATTACTTCAAAGCCCGAATAGTAGATATCTCTTATCAGTTATATTAAGACTAATGCATAATTAAATGAATTTATTTTTAAAAAGAGATATTTATTTACTAAAATATAACTTGCCCATTTGATTGTGGTCTACCTATTATAATCAATTATAGTTAAATATAATGATACAAATACATACATTGACTTTACTATTATTGTCATTATAAGTATCTGATGTAATTGCTATTGAAATAAATAAATATATAATTAAAAGAGTTCAATATTAATAATTCATTTAAGAGTGTAAAATAGTACCCAATTCTTTAATATAATAATCCAATGGATTGTATTTTTGAGGGCACAACTATTAAGATAGATTGTTTTAAAATAAATTTCATAACCAATTTAATGTTAATATTCTTACGTAACCCAAAGAGGAAAAGAAATCTTTAGCATCTCCTAACATGATCAATTGTTGGCAAACATTTTCATTTTATATGATTAATTATATTAATGTTAGTAAAATACTGACTTGTTTTGCCCATAAAGGCTACCCTTCCGTCGGCCATAAGTAAGATGTGTTCAAACATCTCAAATATTTGAGACGAGGGCTGATGTATAGTACAGACTATAGTCCGTCCCTCCGATGCCATTGTTTTCAATGTGTGCACAATATTATGGGCCATAAATGAGTCCAAACCAGTAGTCGGTTCATCACTGATATAGAGATAATTTTGTAATCAAATTATTGTTATAATTATATATGTTTTTACCATAATAGTAACGAAGTATTTGCCAAAATCTTAAAATAAATTATTGAAAAAATTAATTACACAAATAAATTAATGCAATTCAAAACCTCTGAAGCAAATGACAGTCTTTTTATTTCGCCGCCAGAAATACCGCTCATCTGATTATTATCGCCAATTGTATTGTCCATACATTTATCTAAATTAAACTAATAATTCATTTTTAACAAATAATATATAAAATGTTTAAAAACCAAAAATTACTCAAAGTATTAAATTAGATACAATTTGATATTTTGAGTAAATTATTAAAGATTTTTAATTAATTTTTTAAGCTATTGGCAAAAATATAATAACTTTAGTCTTTTAGCTTTATTATACTTATGATAGCCCAGCTTTATTTCATATAATTATAATATTCATAGAAATAAACATGTTAATTAGAATTATTATCTTACTTTGGTTGCTATTTGCTTAATAGATGCGTTTCGCTGTTCTCGTGTTAGATTTTTATCCATTCGCAATATAGACTTAATAGTAAATAAAAAGATTTAATGGAATTATCTTAGCCGTAGTTTTATTAAATATTTTTAAATATTGGTGCTAATTGCTTAAATATAAAAAATCCTGTCTAACGTACTGTAGATTAGAATATCTTATCGGGTAATTTTTGATTATCATTCATATATTAATAGTTTATTTCATTAACTCTCTAGAATTTTAAATTATAAACAATTTTAAAATAAAATTAAATTACTTGAAATGTGAGATGTTCTCTAACTGTAAGCATGGGATGACACAACTCGTGTTGTTGTATATACGAGGACAAGGAGGCCATCATCGCCTGACTCACTACCTGTCCATTCAAACGTACCGATCCTTTAACCGATAGTTTTGATACATTTCTGGCCGTCAATACATTCAATAGTGTTGTCTTTCCGGCGCCACTGAATATCAGTGATTAATGAATGTAATAGTAATTAATGAATGATGTATATTATT